ATATACATTTTGTTATATTCTGTGAGGGTTACTTTGAAAAAATACGTCTTTGTTTATATATATTGGCATATGCTGTGAGGGTTACTGTGTCTGCCTAAGTCTTTGTTTATATTTTTTGTTATATGCTGTAGGCCTTACTATGTCTGCCCAAGTCTTTGTTTTTATATATTGGTATATGCTGTGAGGCTTACTTTGTCTACCCAAGTCTTTGTTTATATATATTTTGTAATATTCTGTGAGGGTTACTTTGACTGCCTAAGTCTTTGCTTATATATATTGGTATATGATGTGAGGGTTACGTTGTCTGCCAAAGTGTTTGTTTATATATATTTGTATATGTTGTGATGCTTACTTTGTCTGCCCCAGTCTTTGTTTATATACATTTTGTTATATTCTGTGAGGGTTACTTTGAATGAATAAGTTTTTCTTTATATATTTTGGTATATTCTGTGAGGGTTACTTTGACTGCCTAAGTCTTTGCTTATATATATTGGTATATGATGTGAGGCTTACTTTGCCTGCCTAAGTGTTTGTTTATATATATATATTGGTACATGCTGTGACGCTTATTTTGTCTGCCCAAGTCTTTGTTCATTTATATTGGTATATGCTGTAACGGTTACATTGAATAAATAAGTCCTTGTTTATATATATTGATATATGCTGTGAGGATTATTTTGTCTGACTTAGTCTTTGTTTATATTTTGTGTTAATTGCTGTGAGGCTAACTTTGTCCGCCCATGTCTTTGTTTATATATATTGGCATATGCTGTGAGGGTTACTGTGTCTGCCTAAGACTTTGTTTATATATATTGTTATATGTTGTGAGGGCTACTTTGTCTGACTAGATCTTTGTTTATATATATTGGTTTATGCTGTGAGGCTTACTTTGTCTGCCTAAGTGTTTTTTTTTAAATATATATTGGTATATGCTGTGAGGCTTATTTTGTCTGCCCAAGTCTTTGTTTTTATATATTGGTATATGCTGTGAGGCTTATTTTGTCTGCCCAAGTCTTTGTTCATTTATATTGGTATATGCTGTAACGGTTACATTGAATAAATAAGTCCTTGTTTATATATATTGATATATGCTGTGAGGATTATTTTGTCTGCCCAAGTCTTTGTTTTTATATATTGGTATATGCTGTGAGGGTCACTTTGACTGCCTAAGTCTTTGCTTATATATATTGGTATATGATGCGAGGCTTACTTTGTCTGCCTACTTGTTTGTTTATATATATTGGTCTATGCTGTGAGGGTTACTTTGACTGCCTAAGTCTTTGCTTATATATATTGGTATATGATGTGAGGGTTACTTTGTCTGCCTAAGTGTTTGTTTATATGTATATTGGTACATGCTGTGAGGCTAACTTTGTCTGCCAATGTCTTTGTTTATATATATTGGGATATGCTGTGAAGGTTAATTTGTCTGCCTAAGTCTTTGTGTATATATATTGGTATATGCTGGGAGGGTTACTGTGTCTGCCTAAGTCTTTGTTTATATATAGTGTTATATGTTGGGAGGGCTACTTTGTCTGAGTATATCTTTGTTTATATATATTGGTCTATGCTGTGAGGGTTACTTTGACTGCCTAAGTCTTTGCTTATATATATTGGTATATGATGTCAGGCTTACTTTGTCTGCCTAAGTCTTTGTGTATATATATTATATTGGTATATGCTGTGAGTGAGGGTTACTTTGAAAAAATACGTCTTTGTTTATATATATTGGTCTATGCTGTGAGGGTTACTTTGACTGCCTAAGTCTTTGTTTATATTTTTTGTTATATGCTGTAGGCCTTACTATGTCTGCCCAAGTCTTTGTTTATATATATTGGTATATGTTGTGAGGCTTACTTTGTCTGCCAAAGTGTTTGTTTATATATATATTGGTACATGCTGTGAGGCTAACTTTGTCTGCCCATGTCTTTGTTTATATATATTGGTATATGCTGTGAGTATATTGGTATATGCTGTGAGGGTTACATTGAATAAATAAGTCCTTGTTTATATATATTGGTATATGCTGTGAGTATATTGGTATATGCTGTGAGGGTTACATTGAATAAATAAGTCCTTGTTTATATATATTTATTTTGTCTGCCTAAGTGTTTGTTTATATATAAATTGGTACATGCTGTGAGGCTTACTTTGTCTGCCCAAGTCTTTGTTCATATATATTGGTATATGTTGTGAGGCTTATTTTGTCTGCCTAAGTGTTTGTTTATATATAAATTGGTACATGCTGTGAGGCTTACTTTGTCTGCCCATGTCTTTGTTTATATATATTGGTATATGATGTGAGGGTTACTTTGTCTGATTAAGTCTTTGTTTATATATATTGGTATATGATGTGAGGGTTACTTTGAATAAATAAGTCTTTGTTTATATATATTGGTATATGCTATGAGGCTTACTTTGTCTGCCTAAGTCTTTGTTTATATATATTGGTTTATGCTGTGAGGGCTACTTTGTCTGACTAGATCTTTGTTTATATATATTGTTATATGGTGTGAGGCTTACTTTGTCTGCCTAAGTGTTTTTTTTAAATATATATTGGTATATGCTGTGAGGGTCACTTTGACTGCCTAAGTCTTTGTTTATATATATTGTTATATGTGGTGAGGGCTACTTTGTCTGACTATATCTTTGTTTATATATATTGGTATATGCTATGAGGCTTACTTTGTCTGCCTAAGTCTTTGTTTATAGGTATTGATATATGCTCTGAGGGTTATTTTGTCTGACCTAGTCTTTGTTTATATTTTGTGTTATATGTTGTGAGGCTAACTTTGTCTGCCTAAGTCTTTGTTTATAGGTATTGATATATGCTCTGAGGGTTATTTTGTCTGACCTAGTCTTTGTTTATATTTTGTGTTATATGTTGTGAGGCTAACTTTGTCTGCCTAAGTCTTTGTTTATATATATTGGTCTATGCTGTGAGGGTTACTTTGTCTGCCAAAGTGTTTGTTTATAACTATGTCTGCCCAAGTCTTTGTTTATATATTTTTTGTTATATGATGTGAGGGTTACTTTGACTGATTAAGTCTTTGTTTATATATATATTGGTATATGTTGTGAGGCTTATTTTGTCTGCCTAAGTGTTTGTTTATATATAAATTGGTACATGCTGTGAGGCTTACTTTGTCTGCCCAAGTCTTTGTTTATATCTATTGGTATATGTTGTGAGGCTTATTTTGTCTGCCTAAGTGTTTGTTTATATGTATATTGGTACATGCTGTGAGGCTTACTTTGTCTGCCTAATTGTTTTTTTTATATATATATTGGTACATGCTGTGACGCTTATTTTGTCTGCCCAAGTCTTTGTTTATATCTATTGGTATATGTTGTGAGGCTTATTTTGTCTGCCTAAGTGTTTGTTTATATGTATATTGGTACATGCTGTGAGGCTTACTTTGTCTGCCCATGTCTTTGTTTATATATATTGGTATATGTTGTGAGGGCTACTTTGTCTGACTTTATCTTTGTTTATATCTATTGGTATATGCTGTGAGGGTTAATTTGTCTTCCTAAGTCTTTGTGTATATATTTTGGTATATGCTGTGAGGGTTACTTTGACTGCCTAAGTCTTTGTTTATATATATTGGTATATGATGTGAGGGTTACTTTGAATAAATAAGTCTTTGTTTATATATATTGGTATATGATGTGAGGGTTACTTTGTCTGCCTAAGTCTTTGTTTATAGGTATTGATATATGCTCTGAGGGTTATTTTGTCTGACCTAGTCTTTGTTTATATTTTGTGTTATATGCTGTGAGGCTAACTTTGTCTGCCTAAGTCTTTGTTTATAGGTATTGATATATGCTCTGAGGGTTATTTTGTCTGACCTAGTCTTTGTTTATATTTTGTGTTATATGCTGTGAGGCTAACTTTGTCTGCCTAAGTCTTTGTTTATATATATTGGTCTATGCTGTGAGGGTTACTTTGTCTGCCTAAGTGTTTGTTTATATATATTGTTATATGTTTTGAGGCTTACTATGTCTGCCCAAGTCTTTGTTTATATATTTTTTGTTATATGATGTGAGGGTTACTTTGTCTGATTAAGTCTTTGTTTATATATATATTGGTATATGTTGTGAGGCTTACTTTGTCTGCCTAAGTGTTTGTTTATATATATTGTTATATGTTTTGAGGCTTACTATGTCTGCCCAAGTCTTTGTTTATATATTTTTTGTTATATGATGTGAGGGTTACTTTGTCTGCTTAAGTCTTTGTTTATATATATATTGGTATATGTTGTGAGGCTTACTTTGTCTGCCTAAGTGTTTGTTTATATATATATTGCTATATGTTGTGAGGCTTACTTTGTCTGCCTAAGTGTTTGTTTATATATATATTGGTACATGCTGTGAGGGTTACTTTGTCTGCCCATTTCTTTGTTTATATATATTGGTATATGATGTGAGGGTTACTTTGTCTGCCTAAGTGTTTGTTTATATATATTGGTATATGTTATGAGCTTACTTTGTCTGCCTAAGTCTTTGTTTATATATATTGGTATATGNATTGCTATATGTTGTGAGGCTTACTTTGTCTGCCTAAGTGTTTGTTTATATATAGATTGGTACATGCTGTGAGGGTTACTTTGTCTGCCCATTTCTTTGTTTATATATATTTGTATATGCTATGAGGCTTACTTTGTCTGCCTAAGGGCTTATTTATATCTATTGGTATATGCTGTGAGGGTTACTTTGTCTGACTAGATCTTTGTTTTTATATATTGGTCTATGCTGTGAGGGTTACTTTGTCTGACTAGATCTTTGTTTTTATATATTGGTCTATGCTGTGAGGGTTACTTTGTCTGCATAAGTGTTTGTTTATATATAGTGGTATATGTTATGAGCTTACTTTGTCTGCCTAAGTGTTTGTTTATATATATGCCTAAGTCTTTGTTTATATATATTGGTATATGCTGTAAGGCTTACTTTGTCTGCCTAAGTGTTTGCTTATATATATTGGTATATGCTGTTACACTTACCGGAGTCGATACTATTTGACGATTTGTAAATGGTGCATTTGTAACTATCTGGCCCCGACGATTAATGAAACTAGTTCTGCCACTGGACGGATACTGTCGCCGGAAGGGTGCACCCGTTACCATAACTGGGGAACCATGGAACCTCTGAGAACTACGTGATCGTGAACTACCAAACGATGTTCGTCCATTAAACCTTTGGGAATTTTTCGCGGAAAAAACTTGACTGTTTGGCTTTCCGGAAAACTGTGTTTTTGCATTTTGTTTCTGTGAGAAACTTACGCGTACACCCTGTAAACAAAAAAAAGTACATTTGTATAAATATAAATAAACAAGGGCATGTCTGTTTCAATAAAAGTGTAGATTTAATTCCTTGATATTAGAAAACAAATTGTTTCTCTGATAAAAAGTGATTAAATCATCACGTGATCCGAAAAGTGCACGCAAAACAACCAGCCAGTCATAATTTGGGATAAAACGGGAAAAAGATAAAATAACAAAAATGCCACCGATGCGACGATGTGTTTGCACCAACAGAGAGTTGTTTACCATGTGTTTTTAATGCTGATCAGAAGAGTCCCAAACATACTAAATTTTGATTGATTCGCATGCCCTTGTGGTTCAACATATTCTGATTGATTCGCATGCCCCTGTGGTTAAAGGTCCACGTACATGTATCACTGCCGAAAACAATAACTAATCATTTGAAAAATAAATTCCTGCATGATAATTGTTATGATAAATCACGTCTGAAACGAAAAATATACATTACAAGACTTTTATGAAAATAAGTTAATGATATAAATACAAATATAATCAATAACAAATGAAAAATCAGTGGGGCTAGACCGGGATTTGAACCCAGGATTTCAGACAGTTATACTAACATAACGCTCCTATCGACTGATCAAATGGTAATGGGATTTTTTCAGGCCCAATAGTAATATAGTTATATCCAAAATAAAATTGATTTGGACTGAGATCCTTAAAGCAATGTAACCGTGGCGTACTTTGAAATGGTATACACCTAAGACAATCTACGTTCGTTTTATCAGCAAGTCCATTTTTTTCAAACATTTAAATTCAAATTTAGATACAGCATGCTGGTATCACTTCGAGTTCAATTCCAAATGTAATCTGTCATGAATCTTCAATCCAGCAGGAGCAGCATTTTAAGGTCACCTTATAATCAACCTCGGCAATTCAAAATTTTATTTTTCAAAAGAAAAAAAAAAGTTTTATTTCAGATGTCTTTAAAGTTGGAAACTTGTGAATTGCGATTCTTAAGATGCTCATATCGATTAAGGTTATGAATGAATTTTGGAAGCGGACATCAATACTTTTGAAAGGTAAAGTTGATGTAAACTTTTCATTTTATACACAGTACGCTAACCAGACTTTGCTTTCGAGATATTCTTCATTATATTTACCCCTACATATTTAAAATGGACTCGCCTAGTCTTTGATTTGATAAGGTTTGAATGTGACTTTAGGCGTGAATAGGTTAAACAAGTACTGTGAAACTGTAGAGCACCGAATGACACTGAGAGTGGGGATTCAATTATCAGGTTGAACATCATCATCATCATCATCATCATCATCATCATCATAATAATAAGATATTAGATTTTATCACATACCTATGTAATCTAGTATTTGCAAAAAAGATCAAAGTTTATACAATCTTTGTATTCGTCCGCGCAATAAACTCGTGCTTGATTCGTTAAAAAAACACAAGTGTGTGGTCTTGCATATGTATTAGATTAGACAAATATTGTATGAAAATTAGTTATGTGATGACGATGATGAACCGACAGTAAACCTTTATATTGTACATCCTGATACAAGAGGAGTAACTCCCGTTTACATTTGTCAGAATGGTCTCATTTCGTTTATTATTAATACAATAATTTTCTGCATTTTCAGCGGCATCCAGGAATTGTTATTTTGGAACACACTGATTGAAATCATTTTACAATAAGAAAGCGCTTCTTATACCCCAAACGATTGTTTGTGAGATGTTCTTGAATTCTTGCCTTTTACAGTTTGTGCGTGATTCGAAAGAAAGCACTCTCGCCTATCACCAAGATGGCCAGGGTTCAACTCCCCGATCGGACGCGAAAAGGTATAGGAACTCCCCTTAACATATATAAAAGCATTTCCGAAATTATTTATTGGTATGATATTATTATGGCTTTAACAATCTTGACACTATTTGTGTCTCAGATAACAAAACATTCCTCATTAAATCGTCCATGCTTGCAGTTTCATGCAAAGCAACATCTAAGACATTGAGGAAATTCCAAACATAATGGTGATTTTTATGTTCTTTTTCTCTTTTAATTAACGTCTTTTTATAGCTGTTTACGTTTTAAAAATCGCTGACTAAGCTCATGATTTGTTACTGCGTTCCATTGATTAAAGACTAAACAAGATATCATTGTCGACAACTTAGAAATGAAAGTAATTCTGGCAAAATGTTTTCATTAAAAGACATATTGAAAATAGGTTCTAAGGGGTGAGGCAAGACCCCGAAGCCAATCCTGATAGCATATCAAAATCTTCATACTCAGTAATCACACATATATTGTATAGGGTATGGATCACAACCGTGTAAGGGCCCAGAAACGAAGTGTTAAGGAGTAAGGCACACCCAAAGACCAGTCCGGTAAACATTTCTGTATAAATCTGTTCATGCTCAGGGGGCGATTTGTTCTATATGGTTATTGGGTTTGGACCTCAACCATTTTCATTTTTTGATTCAGGGATAACGTAAAACGGGCGGGGCCAGTTCTAAAAGCATGCCCAGTGATTGTTTATATGGTTATGAGGTGGAGATCTTAACTATTTCAATTGACCAAGTAATTAATAAGTTTCCGTTGGTTCAGCTAGACCCAAAGGTCAATCCTAATAGCATTGTATTTATGTCCAACTCGTCATGCTCAGCAATGTCTTATTGAGATACATACTGTTACGATATTATGACCAAAGGAGTAAGCCCCAAAGGGCGGTATCAGACCAGAGAAATAATTTTGAAAGCGTGATTTTGTTTGTTTCCTCAAATCAAGTAGCAGTATATATTGTTACATTATATAGATAGGATCTCAACTGTTTCAAAGTTATCGCACATGGATTAAGTCCCCGGGAATGGGTCCAGACCCAATGTATACAGTGTATATGGTGGTTATAGAACAAGGAACAAATTCCACAAAGACGAAATTAACCTATACCCATTTCCGGTAGCAATGAAACAAAATTTACAGTTTACAGGCATTTGTATTTTAATTAGTCCGATAATTGTTCTTAATTTTATTTATCGAGCCCATCTTTATGTTTCATAATAATCATCAAGCGTGTTGTAGCTCGTGTTGTAGCTGTTATCGTCGACACACTGACTGTGGGTGTTTTAAATTTCCTCTCCCGGTAACAGTTATTTTTCTTCCGCCTATAAGACGCGGTAGGGTGCTCTCAATTTATCAAATGTGTTGCTCACGTCCGTTTGCAATATGCCTCTTTTGGAAAAGTTTGCCATTGTCACAGCCTAATTTAGCGTATTGAAAGCGTTGACAGCTTTGTCCGTACATGAACTTCCGTTGGTTCATCTTTTTGCGTTTGGTCCGTAAATAACACTGCTTTTTCCTCGTCATTGCTGATAAACTGCCGATCATGTCCTGTCATTTCGAGCAGAGAATAGTTCCCCGTAATAGGTACATTGTAACAGATATAATTATTCTTGGCACTTAAATGGACGGATGTCTCAGACGGATATTTTCGAGCCATGGCTTTACTCATATGGGTCACTTGTAATTTTTCTCATGGTAGTTTGTAAGCAGATTTCTGATTAGTCAAATCAGAAAAAAGGGATAGGTTTCACTAGTTTTATAGAATAAATCGTTTTCAATATTTCACTGGTAAAAACGTAATGAAGACATTTATGCTCACCATTGGTAGAGGGATATTCACTAGTACTGTAATCAGCGTTATGGACATTGCACCGCCTTTATTGCAGAAAGAAATTACTTGGCCCGACAAGTTTGCCTTCTTATAACGAAATCTCTCCAAAACTCTACTGAATTGTAGACAAAAACCCTTCTGAGGTACGCGTATCTAAGTTAAGAAGAACATCATCAAAGTACTACACAGTGATGACTCTTCGTTAACCTCCGCCATTAATAGTAAAAATGCGACAAGTGATGTACTCGCTCAAGAACGCATCCCTCAAAGAAGGTGTACTATACAAACGACAAAACGAATGTTGACATTGTAGGTGTATCATTTAACAAAGAAACCTGACAGTTAGCTTTGATAAAGACATTATACACCCGATTTATGTAGTAGTCGAACACTGTGGATTTATTCTAATAATACTAATCAACAAACATCCGAACAGACCCTTCCCACTTTCCTTTTACTCGGGAACTTCAAAGACTAATGGAGTATATTACCCGTTACTAAGCGATATTGGGTTATATAAGGCAATGGCTATGATTTTGTAACATAATCCCAACTGAGGCGAACGACCAGTTGTTACAAAAGCTTAGCCCGAGACCGAGATAACCCGATCTCGCTCAGTTACAGGTAGTTGGTTTTTGTTCTCGCACTTTTTGGTTTGAAAAAGTTTTCGATTTCGCTATACAACACCAAAACAATACGTATAACGACAAAACCGACTTTTTATACTGCGGATTATGATCACTTACGTTAGCGCACAAATAAATGCATCGCTGAGTGAAAACGCCGCGAAATGTCGCGGAAAGGTGTCATACAGATCGGAGGAGAAGGAAAAATAAAGCACAGGATATCACTAAGTAGATCCCCGTACGAGATGAAAGCATTTTTGAAAGTTGTATAAGAATTCGTTCCAGAATTTCACACAGCGTTTTCTTGATATCCTCAACTTGACCGTCTTGTGCTTTGTTTGGATTTTGTGGTTTTAGTTGTAAAGTATCAGGTGTTCCGATAGCAAAGCGTCTAATAATTTGATAACAATTTTAAAAGTGCAATCACATGTGTGTGTGTGAGTCCTACTTTCATCCCATAGTGATAATGTTTTAGTCACGAGTTGTTTCAATCTGTTTGTGGACTAGAACTCCCCGTAGGTGGCGGTAAGCTTGTAGCACGAATGTATTCTTGCACTGGTAGCATGAACTACTTATTTAAGTCAAAAAAGCATCGGCTGTAGCCAAAATGTTGAATACGGTAATGAAGGGTTTAATGCGCACTTTTCTGATTTGCAATGAAACTACATACATTGTATACGTTGGAACATTTTTTACATGTATTTTCATTCT